ACCTTTACGATTATAAAAGCTGACGTTTCGTGCGTTAGCCCCTTCGTCGGAGCGAATGACGAAGGGCTAACGCTCGAAACGTCAGCTTTTATAATAGTAACGGTGGCCAATTTACCACTTCAACTTTGTTGATATATTCAAATTATTTAAATTGCAAGAGATTGCTACTATGCTTGGAGTAAGTTGCAGAACCGGTTAAGAGAAGAATGATGTCATATCGACTAAGTGTGTCAGGTACATACTACTGTTTAAGCTAGGATATTATGAACACAGTCCAGCAAATACGAGATATCGTCCATTTTTCATCTCACAGGATAACCTCGTACGAAGTTATGAGGCTTACATGAGGTATTTGACCTTTGTGAGCCTGCACTCCTTCGTTAATAGCTGGGTTGCGGTTGAATGATGGAAAGTTGAATGTTGAGTAGCGCGAAGTACTGCATGTTGAATATATCAATACCATAAGTACAAAAATATTGCATTGCTACAACTACAAAGTGGAACTACGAGAAGTACAATGTTTAATACTTAAAATTTGGAAGTTTAATTGTAAAAAAGACGATGTTGAATCGGAAAAAGTTTCATAAGGAATAAAAACTTGAATGTCCAATCGGGAAATAAGGAAGAATACTAAAAGTACAATGTCAAATCGTAATGTTGAATTTTGGCCCCGATGGGACGCCATAGGAATTAAATAGGTCAAAGTACAGCAGGCAGGTGGATTAAATTTTGTCTTTGTGCCACCGGTATCGACAGTTTATTTTTCCAGTTTCGGTCGGTTGTGTATTCTTAACGATAAGCTGGTAGAAACATTTTGTTCACTGTCGGCAGCTAACCACTCTCTTATTCTAAAACAAAAACTATTTGAGTCCATTCTTCACGACTGCTGAACTTGAACTTTGAACTTTTTTTATTTCACACTTTTAATGGAAGTTAATATTTATATGAAAAATAGGAGAGAGAGAGGAGAATAAAAGTAATATTTGGCCATAAAGATAAGTTTGAGAGGTGCACGGTGTCCAAAGTAGCAAAAGCTTCCTAGTTGGACACCGTAATGGTCATATATTAAATTATTATTATTATTAAATTTAAATTTATACCGCGCAGTTTCTATAAAAATATTCAACTGCGCCTATCTATTTATTATTAATAAATTATTAATAAGCTTATTAAAAATATTCAACTGCGCCTATCTATTTATTATAGGATATTATGAACACAGTCCAGCAAATACGAGATATCGTCCATTTTTCATCTCATAGGATGCTATCTATTTATATAGGATATTATATATCCTATATAAATAGATAGCAGCCTATAATAAAAGGAAATCAGCGGTAAAGTAAGTAAAATGATTAGGTTTTGTTGAACAAGGTTGAAGTTTCCATTTTTCCTTAAGAGTAGATCAGTAGCAAAGTAAAATGATCAGGTTCGGTTGAGCAAAAGTTGATGTTTCCATTCTTTTTAAAGCTATCAGGTAAGACATGTATTTAAGATAAGTGAGCACGGTTTGCCATATCTTTGAAGCAGATAATATAAAAGATGATTTTCCCATGTTGGTGGACTCTTGGTCTAAAAGAATTATTATTAGTAGCAAATCTTGTATTATAATTATGTTTTTCAGCTTTTTATAAAACAAGAGTTGCGTTAGTAGTCAGGGCTGAATTCATTAACGTTTGGGGTATTTTTATATACTAGGGACAATAAGCTGACTTTGGCTGGATTATTCGACAAAAGGAGACAGAATAGAGAAGAATAACAAGGACAACAAATGACCAGTATAGCCCACAAAGAGTAAAGATATTCTCATCATTAAAGATCACTGTCTAATCATGACATTTTTCGCCTAGCTGATGCTCTTAATTCCATCTATCCCTGTCTAGACTTCAAAGGCACGCACCTGAATCTTTGATGTGAGTTGCCTGTCAGACCAGAAAGGCTCGAGTTCTCCTAAAAGATATCAGGTTTTTAGTATGGAATTTTTCGGTCCCCCTTTCCGGATTAAAGTGAAGATGACGCTTTAGGGTGTGGTCATTAATTTTTTCAAGAATTACCTTGTCAGCAACTCCTAAGCTAGTCTCGTGCCCAGACCTTCACAGTCAACATTTCAGTGGACACTGCCTTACAGGTCTGAACGAGTATGTCCCACCCATTAGGATTTTGCTTATGGGGCGTTGAGCTTGAATCTTAAATAAGGTACACAATTTCTTTATCAAGATGTCCTGTGGGCCCAAAGCCTCGAAAAGATGGATGTGGAGTCTTCATGTGGTATGCTAGTTGAAAATATTTAAAATCGAATGGTAAATAAGCTTTCTTCTGAACGTGGGTGAAAATTTCTCCTTTGCAACCTCCTTCCCGGGGCCCCAGGAGCGAGGATGAATCCTCAATTTTGGGGGAAATCTCGGTATTAATGTGAAGTCGCTATGGTCACATTTTTTATGTTGCCAAAATGGCGTGCAGGTTTCCAAATTTTTCTAGCGAAAGATGTTTCATTAAGATAAGTCTTCTTTCAACAATTTGTTAATTAAAATAAATCAAAATTTCATTACACGGGGCCGTAAGTTAGCATGAATTAGAAATATACATTTGGCCTTGACAATGTATTATCGACCGCATATCGTCAAATCAAAATTGGGGAACATGGTATACGAGTCTCGTTGCGTCAGCGTAAAACAACAAACGTCAGCTTGCCCTTTCACGTATCACGTAAAATAGCATGAACTTTGCTGCTTTACCTTCGCGTGAGCTTACGTCATGGTGGACTTTAAGGCGCCCTTTATGACGTCATAGTGGATTTGAAGGCGCCCTTTATGACGTCATGGTGGATTTGAAGGCGCCCTTGTATGATTTACAAGGAATAGTTTTGGTGCCTTTTTTTTTTTTTCCCGGCAATTTAACTTCCACTCTGTGAGAGAAAAAGTGAAGAAAATTTAACGTACACGGCAAACGCAAAACAGGTTACTGTCACATGGAAACGGCAAAGTGCAACCGAACCAGCAAACGTGACAAAATGGTGGGAAAAACAAGGTCACGTGTCACTTTTGCCGTTAATGTTTCACGAATACGTTTCACGCGGTGCTAAATCTCTCTATTTTTACCGTTGGTGCAGAAACTGAAAAATCTAAAATCCTATCGTTAAAAAGATACTAAAGAAGTTGTATCACTGCATTTATCCGTCTAAAGCAAGTCTAGAACCAATTACGTTCAAGAAAAGATTAAACTTCAAGCGAAAACCTTGGGCAAGAAACTATCATTTCGGAAAAACATCTGACTAGCTTTTTCCTCTGATCACGAGTTTGATTGCGTGAATTTCTGGGTGTATCGTAATAAAATCAAATCATCGATCCATAACCTCGAAATTAATACGTAAAGATATTGTTTGAATCTTTTTCAGATTATGCTTGGACCTGCTCTACGAGCAAAACCCTAGGGTTCTGTTACTATTGGATGAAAAAGTGATCGTATTGTATGAAGACAGAAGCGTAAGTTATATGTTTCGCACTTCTGAAGAAAATCAATGGGTTAACTATTTCACTCTAGGATCTCATTATTTTTACTGTCTTCTATTCAATTCATAGGATGTGAGTTTAGATATATGGTATTGAATCAACGGATAAATCTCCCAACTGATATTTTTCTGTAAGGAGAAATTCTGTCTTGGTCACGCATGAGATTTAGTTGACGGCTTTTTCTAATGAAAACATATAAAATTCACAACCACATGAAAATCGATTCTAAGCTCCCAGTCAAAAGATTAAAATCAAGAGATAAAGTTTAACGAGCGTGCCTTGCTGTAAACCATTGAATTTTACTGATGCGCTTTTCAGCTTATTTCGCGCCATTTATGCTCATTGACGCCAGAAATCTGTGATTTGCGGCGTTTTTTTGATGAAAGCAGAACTGTTTCGTGTATTAGTGCATTTTCCGCGTAACTTAGCCTGTAAATTGATCCCTTTAATTGTGAGGATAACATTGCGACACACAATTTTAAGCCAGGGCAATATTGCCATCGCCTGTTATATTTTAGAGGTCTTTTAAAAGATCTTTCCCCTAGGGCGCAAGCGCACGAGTTCGAGTTTCTTTTAAGTAGAATGAAACCGAGCGGAAAAACTGCTCTCTTTCCAGCTTAATTAGCTATTACTTTAAATTAAAAGCTTCATTTCGGTTAAGCTGTGCTTACAATTCGTACTCATAGCCAATTTATAAAGGGACTAAGAGTTTTAACGAGTAATTAAAATCAGGTCCAATTAGCAAGCCACGCGTGTACACACGTATAAATTACGCGCGCGAGCGGTGTCTTTTCCAAACCTAGGGAATACGTTAATTCATTTCATGATAGGAGTCTTAGATAGAGGAATATGTCTATCATGACTATTAAAGAGGCGTCGATTTGACTCTAACAGTTTTTTTATCACAATAATTATCTATTTCGGGTCCACTTGACCGTTTGACTTTTATGGTATTCTGGCGTTCTGTGGCCAACGCGTTAATCTTATTGTTGAATTTATTCATGAGTCATAGGTCGGTGTACTTTTGTTACCGGTAGACACGTTCACGTCCGCTGCAGCCTTTGTCTTGAATATTTGCATTTGTTTGAACTATCTCGTTCTGTGATTGATGGTTCTTGTAAACCACCAACAGACATGTGAATTATGAAACTGAGAACAGTGCGCTTGCTCCAAGTTCATGTTGCAGCGAGATCGCGAAGCAAGGAAACTCAAAATTTCCTCTTAAAGAGATGAGTTCAAACATTAAATCGATGCGGGACAGAACTCCGAAGTGCTCAATTGTCCTCAGCAATGTCTTAGCGATTGTGTTTCGGCCGACATCAACAGTACACAACTGCGAAAATATTCGCAAAGACGATTCGTCTGAAAGCGGTGATTCTAAACCGTCGCATCAACTCAACGGATTAGAATTATTTCACGAGTTCAAAGAGGCCAACAGATCTACAATGCTGACAAGGCTAACGGAAAGTTTGGGCGAGATTCGGCTTAAAGGCTGGGTTTTTCCGTTCACATTGCTGATCAAGGGACCACACGAAGATGTGGAAGTGATCAAGGAAGCATGGAGACGCCATTTTCTCCGGAGCCCGGATAATTTTATAATCAAAGATATAGGTAGGTTTATTTTAGTCATCCACGTATTTTTTTTTTTTTTTTTTGTCTTTCAAATTGCGATCAGTCGCGATAAAAACGCTTTTATGAACTCGTCAATCAGCTTTGTGAGGCTTTCCTCAGAAACTGATACTAGCATTATTGCTAAGTGTTTTCCTAAATATAATCTGTCTTTAATTGAGCCGCCGAACACTCCTCACATTTAAAACATATCCTAATCATGTTTTAGGCACCGCGACACGTCCTCCAGGGGAACTAGTCCCTACACCCTGATCGGTGGAGAGGGAAAAAATGCTGTAGCTCGTTCGATCTACACGCAGACATTTATTTAGTTGTTATTGGCAAACAACTAGATTCTCATAGCAGGTGTACATAATACAGTTGATGACATAAGTGCAGATAACCGGTCGTACAATATTCAAGCTTAGTTATTTTTCGATATAAGCTCGCCAGAATGTTCTTGCGGTGCCAGCCTTAGCTTTACGAAAACAATCTAGTGTAATTAACTCTCACACTTTACTATATGATCTAGTTCCCTGCTCTGGATTCACATGAAAATGCAGTTACTTCTTTGTAACTTCTTCAAAATTACTCAGATTAATAATTTAGACGCTTTTAAGCTGAACAGAAATAAAACATTCTACAAAGGTAGCACCAGATAATCGTGTGCCTCTGCTGCATTTTGCTGTTTTGGTTTCGGCTCATTTGAATTTTCCATTAAGGACAAGAGGTTTTGCTTGACTGAAGAAGAACAGCTGCGGGTTTCCGATTGATAATAACCCTTTTTACACGGTTGTTTTCGCTCGTGAATCTGTCGCAATCATGTCTTTTAAACATCCAAACAGTTATGGAAATCACTCGTGGAACCGTTCTGACTTCTTCAAGCTTTTAAAGTTACAAAGAAAAAACTAAAACAAGTCCAAAGTTTTGTTATTTTGTAAACATATGATCAACGTTTGAGTCCAAAATTAAGTTCATTTGTCTATTGTGACGGCTTTTGTCAATGAAGGCTTTGAGAAATGGCAAAGAAAGGAACATTTAAGCTTTACCACGCGTGATATCTTTAATAAGCCTGTGTTCTAGATGTTTTGAATGAGTTAAACAGTTCGCCGACACAAAAGAATACGGCAGTACTAGAATCACTCTTTATTAGTTTTCTTTCACTCTTGGACTGATAGCAGGGTGGCACGTTGTTTTTCTTTTTCGTTCTGTGATTCAATGTTGTCAATCAAGCAAAGACGTGGTGGCGTATTGCTCATTTGCAAAACCTTCTCTCTCATCGGTCATTCTTTCCAGCCGGAAGTCGTGCTTTTACAGCGAATTTTTTTTCCAAAGCTAGGATTAACAAGGTCTTTCATGTTTAAATCCAATTGTATTTTTCAATGAGAAAGGAATGTCATACAAACTAAATATCTTCCAGTAACAAGAAAAAAAACAAACTGCATTCGCAAAAGACTTAATGTCTTGAATATTAAATGAAAGCTGGTGGGAGCCAAGATTCTCACTTGGTTTTGCCGTGGTCTTTTATCGTACTCCAAAAGGGCTTTTTCTAAAGTTGGACTTAAAGATATTTTCGGCATAAAAGTAGATAAGGATTTTTTTTTAAAAGCCGCCCGAATGAGACGGAAAATTAGAACAGGTGCGAAGAGAATTGTGTTCGTTTTATTTATTTAAAGTGAGCAGTCTTTGTGTACTACAGTACATGACCTGCTATGGCAGGGGGCGGACCTACTCAAGAAAAGAAAAATACATTTTAGTCAAAACAATATAAAAGAAAAATACTTTCATATGAACAAAGAACATGTTAAGAGGAAAATGAGTAGAAGAGAATACGTTTCAATTGCAAATGTTCAAGGCAGCACGCAATATTTGAGAGAAAGCTAAAGAAATTTGGAGCAGAGTCGGATTTTGTTTTGCCGATGAACTGCATTGTTTAAATTTTTGGCTGTTTGGAGGAGATTTTATTTGTGTAAGCCACAAGCTTTGCGGTAATTTGCCTTGTGTCTCCCTAATGCACCGTAGTTATTCTAGAAAACATCCAACAAATTGGTGTTTACATTTCGGCTGGATATAAGCTGGATTAAGAATTTTTAGGAGAGTTTGCTCCGCAGATATGATTGCAAAAAGGGGATGTTTTTATTTTAGAGACATCGTGTAAAATAATCGTTTCTGTTTTATTTCATCTGCTCTCCGTCGCATCAACACTGGCTGAGATTTCTTGTTCATGAAATTTAACACCTGCGTATAAATTTGAGAAAAGCTTATTACTTTACTGCCATGCTTTATAGTTTAAGTACCCCAAGTGAGGGAGAATTTCCAAGTCTTGCAATTAGCAGGAAACTATGTAATGTAAGTTATTATATGGCTGTGTCTCACAAGGACTGAGAACTACCGAATTTGAATTTGATTGGCTGAAATCAATATCGAAAGCGGTCTAGATTTTCCCATCTAGACCGGCCTAGAAAAAAAAGGTAGAAAGAATATAAAAAATTGGCATATAAGACACAGCCATATATAGAATAAACATCTTATTAACCGAGCTAGGTCGGTCTGTATGGGAGAATCTTGACCTCGGTCGCTGGTACAGACATCACTGCGTTCGGTCTGTACTGGCGACCTCGGTCAAGATTCTCCCATACAGACCTCCCGCTCGGTTAATAAGAACTAAGTATTAATGTATTAACGTAATAATGTAGTAATGTAGCTAAATTCTTGTCAAACTGTTTTTGCTTCTGTCATATGTGGAAAACACAAAAAAACAAAAAAGCGTAAAAAACAAAAATGAAAGAAATTTTAACACAAGATAAATTGCCTTTACAAAAAAAATGGAAACCTGCTTCTTGAAAAAGAAATATTTCCACGTACACGCGCGTGCCCTATTTTCATGTACATGTGCACGCGCGCGTACACGATCGCTCTTGCACGTGAGTTTTCTTCTCCACCCATGCGCACTGTATCATCATAAAAATCTCTTCTTAGATTCTTCATGAAAAGCGTGGGAACTATGACAATATCTACGAAATAGTGTTTATTCAATACCGTGTCTAACGTTCCTCAATTGCTTCTTTTGTTTCTTTTTTTCATTCTATAAATCAGGAGACAGCAAGTCCTTTGAATATTCAGATATTGTAGAACATACCCCTCTGTCCCATTTTTTTGTCGTGATAAATACAAGTTGCTGTGATGAAAATCTCGCCTTCGTCAGTTCAATTGATAATCGATAGCTTCTGTATACTTGTCTGTAGCTACTTTCGCAAGTCCTTGCAGTCGCCAAGGCCTTCGGTTGTAGATACCGAGTACATTCCTAAGTGCGAGAAAATCGTCGAAAAAACTGAATACAAAATCATCACAGAAATTAAAGGAATATCAAAAGAAAAAGTTACGTAAACTTTACCATCTCTACCCCTCCATGGACCAACAGAATCGTATTAGGTGGTAGGAGTCCTACACTGACATCCTGTTCTCATATTTTCATTCGAAGTCGATACGTTTTCTTGACCAAGAGGGGTTCACATGCACTTTAACTTCCCCTCTCCCCCTTCCTTCGCCCGTTTCGTCATTCCAAACCCGTAACCTCCGATTGTTGTCAGCAAGAATTTTTTTAAATTCAGATTTTCTTATGCACTTCAAACATCACTCTCCCCAGGCGCCGTCAGCTCTGTTGGTATGGAAGTAATCCAACAAGCTCCATTCCTTCCATTAACCAAGTCTCTGGTGGAAACCATAGCTGCTCTGAATAGCAGTCAGTTGACAGCCACACAGCAATCGATTGCCGAATACCTGGCAAGAACTTACCAATATGTACACGTGCCAAAACTGAACGTAATTCATGACTGCCTTGGAATTCTGATCAAGGAGCGCAGAATTTACCACACAGGAAACGGTTACTTCGTTAACGGTCATAACCCTTTTAACAAACCCACAGACGCGCCGAAAGAAAACGGTGAGGCTCAAAGCGTGAAAGACTCAAAGTGCGTGGCGTGTGAAGTGATTTCGAAAGGGAAATCAACGAAAAATGAAAAAACCAAGAAAAGAGGGAAAGGAAAGGTGGAGGGCGATGTGAAGGAGAAGGAAAAGGAAAATGAGAAGATCAGAGAGGGTGTCAAATTGGAGAGAAAAACCTCAGTATCTAACACTGAGACTGAAGAAACAAGAGATGTGAAGTCGTTGACACCGCAAACAAAGGAGGAGACAACAAAGCCTTTGAGTGAAACAGCGAGCGAGACAAGCAGCGAAGGAACAAATAAGAAGCCCAAGAAACAAAAGAAAGGTGTACTCAATCAGATTTCCTGCTTTATAAAAGGCAAAACACTTTCTTCTGCAGAGGTATCTGAAGATGCTAAACAGGAGCCAAACACTCCTTTACCCACCCCTCCCTTTCAAGTCTCGGAGCGACAGGCACCGCTCGCTGCTCCAGAGAACATGTCGCCCTACCTGATAAGAAACGAAAAGAGTGTCACCCCACAACTAAGACATGTAAGGACTATGTCTGCCCCAGTGGGACATTCATCTTTGTCTGTGCCACCTCAGAAGCTTCAAGAGTCCAATGAACGAGAAATCAAAACACCAACTCCGAATCTCCGGGAGCTTGGCAGAAGTAAATCCTTTTCTGCCACAGAAAAACGCCCCCAACTTGTGATGCGAAGCAATTCATTCACTGCTCCAAGCACAGCAACCAGAGTCGCTCGACAGATTTCGACTGTAGATGCTCCGGTTACTTGGGATCGACCACGGCCAAGAATTAACTACGGAGACATCATTCGGAACGCACCGGGGAGACGAACAATCCATATCTCTCAACCAAATTCGTACAATATGGGGATTATCAGACCTGTGGATATGACGCAACAACGACCGCTATCACGAAACAGCTCCATCACAAGAGAAATCCCCCGGAAGATAGAAGGATCATTGTCATCTTCCAATGTCCCTCGGTCTTTCGCCTCTCCTTTGAGCGCTCCTCGTTTAAAAGAAAACTCAAATCATGCCCGTGTCCCTGTGATGCGCAGCAAGTCTTTCACGGAACCAGGCATAACGAGGCTTGCTAACCGACAGTTTTCCCATCGCCAAACGATGGGGTCGCATTACGAGTCTCCTCTGCAGCAGCTGCTGGCGCGAAAGACCCCGGGCTACACTTCCCCTCCAAGTACAGTTGTGCGTGTGACAGCTGCTCCTAAAGGCGTTAGGTATCATGTCCCGGTCAAACACTCTCCTGCCTCGCTTAAGAGGGCCACACCCAGCACATCCGCCCGGAAGCAGCAAAAACAACCCTCAGCTTTGCCTAAAAGCGGAACTCCTCGAGAGAAACCACGCCCACGCACCCATTTCTCTTCGCCCATCAGCTATGACACGAACAAACTCGATGACAAAGGCAACAACTCCTTGTGTAATGGCAATATAAACAATGCTGGCGGAGAAGCCAAATCTCAGGCTCCAGTCTTTCAGCCAAACTACAATTTTCAACAAGCCTGTGCGCCATCCGATGGAGTCAGTAGTGAACACATTTGTCTAGAAGAAATGTCGTCAACTTCAGCTTCCGAGGTAACTTTGATTGAGGAACGTGACTGGTGCACGGAGACTAGGAATGACAATGAAGGCAAACCACAGAACCTATACAAAAAATTCACTGAGGAGACTGTAAATGATAGTTTAACATTTATTGGTATTATTTAGGTGATGTTAAGGCTGGTACTGATTCGCTTAATACTAGAGCTTATTGCAGTTTTCATCAGCAAATAGAGCAATCAACCGGTTAATCTTAGGAAAAAATACTTCCTTTGTGTTCCTCTAGACCGTCGTGCTATGCTAAACAAAAAATAAGTGTGCTTCTTCGGAGATATACTAAATTCGACACAGCAATAGTGTTTTCAGATGGTAACAAAAAAATCAAATTAGATGATTTTGTAGTCTATTAGAATTAGAAAAGTTGTCAAATTTTATATTCATATGATTTATATTTCTAGGGAGGATTATATAGAAAAATGGAGGACGTTTATTTTTTAAATGATTCTCGTAACAGCTTTTTTGTAAATAATTATGTGAGACAATCATAGTAGTGTAAACCGCTCTACTGCGATTGCATTTTTAATAGAGGTGCAGATTTTAAAATTTTCAAAACAGATATTTGATACTAAACGAACTTTTGGCCCCCCAAAATAAGTCAGTGAAGACTGATTCCTTAGACTAATCACTCTAGATTTCTATGCGTACTAGTTGGTTCGGGTTTCTCCCTCACCAACCATAGCACGATAGATATTCTTAGCTTGTACGGCCTAGCTGTCGAAGATCCATCATTTGTTAAATCAAGTTAAATGTAATACTTTTTTTCTTTTTTGAAATGTTCTTGAACTCGGGTCTAGCGAATCGTGAGTTTTTTTAATCGTATTTCCTGAGTAAAAGTATTACTAAATAACAAAATGATCCTCAAAATGAACTGAAATTGCAGAAATGAAGGCTGAAACAAATTCGGGCTTTGGCCTGAGCCTGTGCCTACAAGGGAGCAAGGGAGAAAAATACTGGTTCTCTTGTTGGGAGCTATCAACGTCGTTCCCATGGCCTTTTCCCTTATTTGGGGGTGAGGCGCCCCACCCCGAAGTAAGAGAAAAGGCAATGGGAACGAGATTGGGTAGCTGTTACCATTTAATACATCTCACCATAGGCCTAATTTGGGTGGCTTCTTTGTTCCCTACAAAGGAGTCTGGTCACAGATAAATGGAGTAATCCTTAATTTGACCTGTGGATAATATCACTGAAATTGAACACCGACCGTCTCATTTTTGAACAACAAATTGCCCGGACAAATTCCTCCCTTCACCTCTACTCGTTTCGATCTTCCGTACTATTCTTGAAACTTAACACACAAACAAACAAACAAACGAAGAAACAAACAAGCAAACAAACAAACAAACAATCCTTCTCTTCTTTGACATTGCTTACGAATTTTCCGACCGCAGAAATTCGAGAAATTTCGGAATTATATTGCTTAAGGTTATGCTCCAGAAAATAACAACCGGGATCTATGTTAGTGTGAACTTCCATTTGCGTTGATGCATCGTTCATACACTGTTACGTTAATGGCAATTCCAACGAAAATCGTTGAAGCCTTGATCTGTCTCAAGATAAATAGCAGTAGAGATTTCATGGATGTAATTAGAAATTTTAAAAATGAAGGATAATGAAGGTTGGTGAAATTCAAGAGAGTCAAAACAACACTGAATGTTCGCCATTTAAGATTTCGTGTGGTATTTCCAAATGTGTATCCCGTCATTTCAGAAAAATTGAGCGACAGGTAATTATTTGTCGCCAGGGAGGGGGGGGGGAAGTCAGAGATTTCAGGCTGTGTCACGACCGATACAATTTACCTGATCCCACTACAATGCCACA